GGCCCGAGTCCCGGCCCCCGACCCCCGGGCTTCTCGCCTTCAACCCCGACCTTTCCGCCTTCTCAGGCCTGGCCTCCCCATCTGGCCCTGCGGGGAAACTGCCCTGCACACGTTTGGGGCAACCTCTTCACCCTTTCTAGGTCGCCGTCTCATGGTCGAAACATTTGGACTTTTTTTTCCGTCTAGAAAATAGTTTGGGGGTGTCGGGGGGGAGAGGAGGGGAGACACTAGGGATGTCCTGAGCTTGAACACGGCGCTTTGCTGGGCGTCTTCCCTCTCTCCGGGTCCGGGCCTTGGCATCTCTAAGTATGTGACCTTGAACCGGACACCTGCCGTCTTGAAAAGTAGTTTTTGTTGTTTTTCTTTTGACTTGATGGGAAGTGCGTGTTGGAAAAGAAAGGCCTTGTTGAAAGCCGGGTCCGGCGCCAGAGGCCCAGCGGGCCCGGCCTGTGAGCATCCTTGTTCGCAGGTGCACCTGCCTGAGCTGCTCCTGCGACCGATTCCCTCCCGGGAGCGGGGAGCGGGGAGCGGGGAGCGGGGAGCAGAGAGCAGAGCCGAGCTCCGGCTCCGCCGAGCCTGGCCCCTGCCCCGGGTCTGCGGGACGAGTCCTGTCCTACAGCCGCAGAGCCAGGCGCCTCCTCTCCCGGGAGGAGGAGGCTCTCAGAAGCAGAGGTGCCTTTTAATTGCAGAAGATAAGAAAGGCCCGGGGCCCTTGTTCTTTGTTCCCAAATATAGAACCAGTTGTTTCCAGGCCTCTCATCCGTGGAGAAATTTTAACTGCAGTTCAAATGTTAACTTGTGTTTTCTCTCCCTAGATGAAAAGCATTTGCTTCTGTGTCAGTGTCGTTAGCTAATGAGATCCCAGAGCAAAATCCCTTAAGAAAATGGGTTTGGAAAGAATTAGAACCATTTAGTTGTACTTAGGAGTTTTTCCCCCATGTAGTTAAATTGGGGGGCGGGACAGCTTCTATCTTTTTGGTTTCAAACGCTTGTGAATTGGTTTTGCTGTTCTTTCCAACAGGAAATTGTGTGTTCTATTCCTTCCTGTGCGATAGGGCTGCCTCATTTTAGGATCTACGAAGTTTGGCTGTACTCTCCTCCCTTCTGGTGTTCAAAGTTGTTTTCTGTGGATTCAAAACCATATTTTAAAACTCGATCATTTATATGTTTCGAAGTTTTCAGTGATTTTTATTAAGCTAAAGTTAATTTTGGATTGCTACACCCTGACTTTCTAATAAACACATCCTTTTAAGGATAGTTGCTTGGAAAGAGAACTGAAACAGGTGACCTAGATTAAAACCTTGAACTAGGTCCACACAATGGGTGATAAAGAACCGGACTTTTTTTTTTTGTAATTAGACAATTATATAAATCTGTGCAACCATGATCAGTTTAACCCAATTTGTTTCTGTCACTCCCTATGCTTTCTCTCTGGGTCCCAGTGTTTTGACATAGAAAATAAGAAAGTCAGGCATGAACCACTATGCACCAAAATTGGGATACTTTCCATGAGTGGGACGTGACTGACTTGACTCTAGGTGGTGTCTGATTGAGGGCTTTTATAATAGTTTTTGTTGTGTGTATTTAAACTGTGGTTTAAGGTACTGATGTAAAATTTCCGTTTAAAAAGTTGGGTTAAAGAAAAGATTAGTGTAAGAGTAAATGTGCTGTGTGAATATGGGTAAAACCATGAAGTTGGCAAATTACTGATATTTGGAACCACTGGGCTTAGAAAGTAGAGCTCTAAGATCATCTGTGATTCTGAGAAATTTTGTGTCCTTAGTTTTATAACAGGATGTCAGTACTGGTTACCTAGTAGATGCTAAGGGAGAAAACTTCAAGAATTAATATCTTAACTCCAAATGAGAAGTTTCTTTATTGTCAAAATATATTACCAAAAATGTCATAGTCTAATGAGGGAAAGTAAAAAATTAGATTTTGATTTATTTTACATAATCAGAATCCTAGTAATTGGGACAGTTCAGCATTAAATCTTTGTAGAAACGTTTCATTTACTCTTTAACTCCGATTGGCTATAGGAGTAATTTGGCTTTTTCCAGAAGTTTTCTTTTTCATGTCCACCTTTATGATCTAAGTCTGTAATACTTGACCAACTCAGATTCTCGTAAGATGAGCTGTTGCTATAGAATAGAATGTCCAGTGGAAAGTTAATAAGACTGAAATGCAGTAAATGGAGTGTAGAGAATAGCACATTTCAGGGAGATAATGTTCTACAATTTGTGAGTCTTGTTTATTATTGTATAACTTCAATTTTTAATGTCCCAAGACTATAATCCTCTTGAGATACATCTTTTTAGTGTTATTTCTAAATGTAAGCATTTACTGTGCTTCTGATCCACACAAGTATAGGATGAGTATCTCATCTAGAATGATGCACAAAAATTGATTTTAGAGATTGTCTGTGGGGACCTGAGTGGTGATACAGGACAGGATCTGTGAACACTTTATTTTCTCTGTATTTTCTTATATGCTTTGTACCGCATGCACATATTATTGGTTTAAATTAAATACTGAATAATTGTTATGTATGGAATTAAATACTAAGTAAAATTTAGCCATTACATTTGTTACTTCGTAATATATATGTGTATGTATGTATATATACACTTACATGTATATATATGTATTAAGATTTTTTTAACTTATATATGTTTTTCATCTGCTCCATTTTTCTAAATTCAAATCAGAAATAATGAGTCCATTATTTTATCTTGCTTAACTAATGAATGGCAGTAGGACCCTGTCTGGTGGTTCAGTTGGCCAGAGCATCGTCCTGTTTACCAAAAGGAGGCGGGTTGCATTTCTGGTCAAGGCATGTTCAGGAGGCAGTGAATCCATGTCTGTCTGTCTCCCTCCCTCTTTCTTCCACTTCTCTCTCTCTCCCTCCCTTCATCTCTCTAAAAATCAATAAATTTTGGTTGTAAGCTTTTTCAGTGTTTCTTTATCTTGTGGCGGTTTTTAAATATAAGGTGTGCATCTTTGATGACTTTTATCATTTGGAGAATTTCCAGAAATGAATTCCTAATGTGGTATTATCTAGTTTCTCAATTAGCTCCTGTTTTTCTCCCCCAGGGACAAAAGGGGCTCTACATCCAGCACGTGCACACTGAAGCAAGTTAAAGGATTACTATGAAGCACAGAAGCAGATAGTGCCAAATAGCAAGTAGTGGTTGGTACACATTTGTGAGTAAAGTTTTTCTCTCTTAGCTCTCTTTTCTTAGCCTTTAAGACATCTGCATGCCAGATCCTTCAAATTCATACATTTGGGTAAAGAATAAAAAAGCAAGTTCGCAGTCGTAATTAACCAGTTGAGCAACCTCTAAGAAGTCTCCTAAACGTCTCAGTGAGGTGGAGTTTAAGGTGTGTAATACATCTCTGACATGGAGCTTAAGAAATATCCCAGCTCTAACTTGCAGTTATACTGTCCTTAATATCTTATTGCCCTTGATTAATGTTTTTGCTGAAAATTTAGTATGATTTCGTTTCCAAAGTTAATTTTTTTGAAAGAAAACACTACTTATACATCAAATATTAAAGCTTCTTGAAATACATTTACCTCTGCCTTTTACATTCTCTTTGTGGTTTCTTAATTAGTCAATAAAATGAAGAGGATTCTTCTTCAAAATGTAATGAGTAGAGTTGTACAGCAAAGTGTTTTTGTTTTTTTTTTCTAATCTGACTTCTCATTTGTATATACATTGGATTAGCTTTTCTTTATCCTGTTGGCAAAATCATAAAATAGTAACTGTACTTTACACCATATTTATGATTTTTGAGCTATATAGAATAATTTTTTTAGGAGGGATTTGAAAATTTGTTCCTCAGATCAAGCCCCAAACCTCTTGAAATCCAAAAATTATTTTAAGTAGATATTTCTTTTATTCATAGTTTTCTTATGAAATGAATTATTGAAATACTGATTTTTATTCTTTCTTTTTTACAGCTGGAAAAGCAGTGTCCGTGTTGTTATGTACACCTCCAAAAAAATTCAGATCTGTAGGGGAATTGTTGTGTAAAGTAAACTGAACTACAGGGTAGCAGTATTTTAATAGCTATTATAGACGTGTATTAACTATATTAAAAATGAGTAAAAGAAAAACCTGTGACCCACCAATAGGAAGGTCAGTGACATTTTATTCAGTTGAGCTGGTATTAATAGGCTTGAGCGATAGTGGCCTGAAAGCTAATTGCCATAGGCTAACCATGCTCTTTTACATTTTTATCAGCATTTTGTATTTTGGGGCAACTTTCTTTCTACTGCATTTCCCTGGAGCATGGATCCTGCTATAATTCAGGTTTCTCAATGCATCTGTACCATCTTTCCCCTTAAAGGCATGTCATGCTTTAAAATAATATACATGTAAATGTGATGTTAAATACAAATTAATGTGAAACTTTGAATCCCTCAAAATGAATGTATACACTAAGGATTTATTAATGCATATGCTATCTTGGTATTCATTGCATCTCAGTCATCAGATATACATTCAGCAAGAGGAGTTTTAATTTGTATTTTGTGATTTGCAAGGGATTGCATCTTTTTTAGTACGTTTAGAATTAATCTTATTAGCCTTATAAATCTGATTTTCATCTTTTTTTTCCATGCATGACAGCAATTTCAAATTTCCTTTTTGCAAAGTCCCAGCAGCTTTTCCTCCAATAATTGATTAGGAAATTTTAATTTTAAGTTTTCTTTCAGGCATTTTTGAGTCATAAGCAGCATGCATATCTATATAGCGTGTGTGCGCGTGCGCGCAAGCACACACACACACACACACACACACACGTGTCCGTTATGTTGTGATTATACAATAATTTTTTAAATTTGCTCCCAAACAATAGTTTCAAGATGCAGTTTCAACTGATAAGGGAGAGAAGGCATTAAGTTAAAGAAAACATTTTCTTCACCTTTTATTTTTCTTTTGTATGTATTCAGTACTCAGAAATGAGAAGTCCCTTTTTGCTCTTTCAATAAGGTATTGTCATCTAACTTCACAATGCAGAGAAAACTAACATTTTCACACTCATCACACTGTCTTTAATTTTTTTTGCCCACAGAGTGAGTGGGGTAGCATTTCCTTCTCCCACTGCTGCCGAGATGGCGGAAATTAGTCGAATTCAATATGAAATGGAATACACCGAAGGTATTAGTCAGCGAATGAGGGTCCCGGAAAAATTAAAGGTAGCACCACCAAATGCTGACCTGGAACAAGAATTCCAAGAAGGAGTTCCAAATGCCAGTGTGATTATGCAGGTTCCAGAGAGGATTGTCGTAGCAGGTATTTTACATTTGGGTATTAAGTGCCTGGCATATCTTTGTTTTATATATTTTTAGGAAAGTTTATGGTTTTTCAAAACATTGGGGTTAGAAAGTGCAACTTATAATTTTTTCAAATTTTATTTATTACAATAGTGTAAAATTTCAAGCAATATTTTTAATCAACTAATTATTAAGGTGTAATACATAATTTATATCCTATATAATAAAGAGGTAATATGCAAATTGACCATCACTCCAACACACAAGATGGCAGCCCCCATGTGGACACAAAATGGCCAGCAGGGGAGGGCAGTTGGGAGGGATCAGGCCTGCAGGGGAGGGTAGTTACGGGCGACCAGGCCAGCAGAGAAGGGCAGTTGGGGGCGACCCGGCCAGCAGGGGAGGACAGTTGGGGGGGACCCAGGCCTTCATGGGAGGGCAGTTGGGGGTGACCAGGCTGGCAGTAGAGGGCAGTTAGGGGCAATCGGGCTGGCAGGGGCGCAGTTAGGCGTCAATCAGGCTGGCAGGGGAGTGGTTAGGGGGTGATAAGGCTGGCAAGCAGAAGCCGTTAGGGGCAATCAGGCAGGCAGTCAGGTGAGTGGTTGGGAGCCAGCAGTCCTGGATTGTGAGAGGGATGTCCCAGATTGGAGAGGGTGCAGGCTGGGCTGAAGGTCACACACACACACACACACACACACCGTGCACAAATTTCATGCACCTTGCCTCTAGTATATATGTATAATGTGTATAATTTTTAAGTGTACAGCTTGATGAGTTTTTTAAAAATATGCTTTTATTGATTTCAGAGAGGAAAGGAGAGGGAGAGAGAGATAGAAATATCAATGATAAGAGAATCATTGATTGGCTGCCTCCTGCATGTCCCCCACTGGGGATCGAGCCCGCAACCTGGGCATGTACCCTTGACCGGAATTGAACCCAGGACTCTTCAGTCTGCAGGCCGACACTCTAGCCACTGAGCCAAACCAGCTAGGGCACAGCTTGATGAGTTTTAAGAAATGTATACACCCATGTACCTCTACCACTATCCAGTTATAGAACATTTTCATTATCCCAGAGGGTCCCCTTGTGGCCCATCTTATTTCATTTTTATCCTTCAATTTTAGGCAACCGTAATCTATAATCAGAGACTATTTGTCTTTCCTAGAGTTTCATATAAATGGAATTATACACTGTATACTCTTGGGTCTGGCTTTTTTTGCTGAGTGTTATGTTTTTGAGATTCTTTCCTGTTGTTGCTTATATCTTGTTCATTTCATTTTATTACTGAATAATAATAACTCAGTAGAGTTATTATTCCTACACAATTCCATTGTGTAGATATACCATGATTGGTTTATCCATTCACCTGTTAAGGAACATTGGGTTTTTCTTTTTTTTAAGTTGGGGGGCTATTGGGAATAAAGCTGCTATGAATATTCATGTATAAATCTTTGTTAGGACATGTGTTTTTACATCTCTAGGAGTGGAATTGCTAGATCATATTATAAGTTATGTTTAACTTTATAAAAAGCTTTCAAGCTATTTTTGAAATTGGCTGTACTCTGTTATATTCCCATCCATAATGTATGAGAGTTTCAGTTGCTCCACATCCTTGTCAGCATGTTGTATTGTCAGTCTTTTTCATTTTGGCCATTCTAGTGGGTATGTAGTGGCAAATACAATGTAATAAAAGTACTACCTTTTTAAAACCTCCCTTCTTACCTTTTTATATTTTTACTCCCAGGAAACAATGAAGACATTCCATTTTCAAGGCCAGGAGATCTTGACCTCATTCAGTCAACTTCTTTAAAACCTCTGGCACTAAAAACACCACCTCGTGTACTTACACTAAGTGAAAGACCACTAGATTTTCTGGATTTAGAAAGACCTCCTTCAACTCCCCAAAATGAAGAAGTAAGTAGAGTTTTAACATCAACTGAATTTGAAATAATAGAGAAAAAAGCAAAAGCTAAAGAGGAGTTAAGAGGCTTTAAATCATATCATTAGCAACATTTAATGAAAGCCTTCTGCCTGGACCATTGATTACTATAAATTCTGGTTTGTAGATATCCCAAATAAGATATTCTGCTATTTTGTTGTTTTTAATTTAAATTATGTCTCAGGAAAAACCAGATTTTGGGGAAATCATGAACCTAGGCACTACACCTTCAGTAATACAGAAAAAGTTGGGAAATTAAGCATAGAAAAAGACTAATGCATCACTTTGTTACAAAAGCAGTCTGGCATACAGAGCAAAGGAAGCTCCCTTTTTTGTTGTTACCACCTATTCTCCCTGCTTGCTGAAAAGTTTCTACTGAGTTAATTACTGTGCCATGTAACATTAATAGCCATGTTGACCTATAGATGGCAGTATGGACTCATAAGGTGTTAGTAGCCATATTCAGATCTTGCCTCTGCCATTGATTCAGGGCCAGTTTTGTAAAACTTCTTTTCTGTGATGATTTCTGTAGTTGCAACTTTTTCATTATAGCTTCTGAAATTGTGCTATGAGGCTAGTAGGAGACAATGTGAAACATCTTTTTATTGATAATGGAACTACCTGTCTTTCATCTTTCATATAGTCCTTTCCAAGGAGGATAAAGGACCTATATAACACAGGAAAGTGGCGTTTCCTAGTACTAGGTAATGGTCTTAAGTTGGAAGTTTCTGTTGCGGTTATAGAGAAAATATACTTGTAGGTGCAATTGTGGACATTCTAGATATTTGCTTGGTGAAAAGCACTAAATTTGAGTGTTCACATGATGGAAAAGGCACTAAGATATTTGCAGAATTGTATTTATTTAAGAAATATTTCTTTGAATTTTATTGTAAGACACTACGTTGTGAGACATAGTTCCTGCATAGTGGTATGAATGAGGGAAAGATGCACACACACACAAAGATTCTTTAATAGTAAGGAATAATGAAAGTTATGAAGATCATTACATAAGACAAAAGATAACCACAGCATGCTCCCAGTTGGAGGCCCAGTTTCCGGCTCCCCAAAGTTCCCACCAGAAATTACAGCCGTGAATAGTATTATCTTGGAGTAAGGATTCTGCCAGGAGAGAAACCCTCCCTTTAATATTCTTCTAGTTATATTTTTCTTTTGATCTTCCTGCTCCCACTATTTTAGACACTTATGCAGAAACTTCCAACTTAAGACCATTACCTAGTACTAGGAAACGCCACTTTCCTGTGTTATATAGGTCCTTTATCCTCCTTGGAAAGGACTATATGAAAGATGAAAGACAGGTAGTTTTTTGAAAATGGATTGAAATAAAAGGGCAGTAAGGCCTTGTGTGCTGGTATCATAGATGACTCATTCAGATGCTATTCAGTATCAAGTGAAATCCCTGAATCATTTACTCCATAGTAGTCATTTTACAGCATATGCTAAGGTTTCTCAACCTCAGCACTATTGACATTTTGGACTGGATAATTAATTCTTTGTTGTAGTGAAGGTTGTCCTTTTGTAACAGCATTGCTGATCTCTACTTACTAGATGCCAGTAGCGTCCTTCAAGTCATGAAAAGCAAAAAGGTCTCTAATAGCCAAAAGGTGGAAACAACCCAAATGTCCATCAGCTGATGAATAGATAAGCAAAACATGGTATATCCATATAGTGGAATATTATTGAGCCATAATAAGGAATAAAGTACTTATAGCTGCTACAACATGGATGACCATCGAAAACATGCTAAGACAAGCCAGACAGAAAAGGCCTTATGTTGTATGATTCCACTTACATGAAATATCCAGAATAGGCAATTCCCACATACAGAAAGCAGATTAGTGGTTTTAAGGGGGTTGGGGGAGAGGGAAATTGGAGTAACTGCTTAATGATAATGATTATAAGGGGGCCATGGAACAGTGGCAGCTGCACTGCTTATTTTGCTCATGGATTTTGTGAGTAAAGAATTTGCATCAGGTATAATAAGGAAAACCTGTTTCTGTTCTACAATATGTGGAACTAAGGCAGGGAGTCTCATAGACTGGGGATGATTTGGCAGCTTGAGGCTGCAATCATCTGAGGTTTATGCATGTCAGTTAATAATAGCTGGTGTCTGGGATCTCAGCTAGGCTACACATAGCCTTTTCATGTGACGACTTATGCTTCCTCACATCATGGTGCCATTGTTGCAAACATGAGCAGTCTCGAGAAAAAAGGCGGAATTTTACTATGGCTTATGACCCAGCATCAGAAGCCACATTGCATCCATCTTTCTAATTTCAAGGAAGTAGACGTAGATCCCATCCCTAATGAAAAGAAGTCGATACATTTGTAAGAAGAGCATGTGGGATGGGAGATTGTGGCTATTTCTGGAATGCCAAAGGCTTTAAGCTAGGAAGACTATTTTTTTAGTCTACTTTTCAGATATCCAAACAAATCTGAATTTGTTTAAACCCCAGAAGCCAGAAACATTTATAATAGAAATACAAATTTTCTATAATATATGTGCCTTTAAAGCTGTTGAGAATTGTTCTTAAATAATATATCTATCTATATTACACATGCCTAGCAGCCATTCTTGGTTATTTATCTATTTTATTTTTTTGTAAATTTTGTGAGTAGTCTTGATTAAGGTTCTTTTGATGCTAAGCAGCTACTAGGCTACTAAGAATATTTCCTATTCCCTTACCTTTCTCTGTGCCTAACAGGTCCGTGCAGTTGGCCGACTAAAAAGAGAGCGCTCTATGAGTGAAAATGCTGTTCGCCAAAATGGACAGCTGGTCAGAACTGATTCCATGTGAGTACAACCACTAAGTACTGTATCTCCTTTTTAAGTTTTCTCTATAGATGTTGTCTGTCTCATCTTTTTCTAAATAATTTACATTTTTTAATTCTCAAATATTTTTTCAAAAAAGAAAAGGAGGAAGAAGTATGTGTTTTACCCTAAGAAACAATTTACTTCTAATAGCATTTAAAATCTGTTTTGCATTTGCATTACTTTTACGTAATTGCAATACCTTTAATAGCCTTAAAAACTTGACCATTTGTTAGTTGTGAACATTTTTCGACAGCGTTATCTTTTATGTATATGATAGTCTTAGCAAAGAATGAATTGGCTATATGGGGACTCTTCTATAAAGTATACTTAAGAAAAACTGATAAATGTGAAGTGCTCAGTTCTGTGCATCCTTCAAAACTATTTATGTAGCATGTAGGTTAAAAAATAAATAAAAGGTAAACACTTTATATAAGGAAAGTCTTTATTTCCAAGTTACTCAATTTTTGTCATAAGATTGTGAATTAACCCTTTTTAGCTCTGCTTCTAATGAGCTGTAGTAAACACCGTATCATAGACGAGTGGATTTTTTTTTTCCTTTCCAGGATTATTTTTTAGCTTCCTGCCTACTGAGTTATTGAATTACTAGATTCCTTTTATTTTCCAAAAATGCAAGTATATTGCTTAAAGGACTATTTGTTTAAAACTCTTTCTCATTTGGCTAAATTATCACACCCTGATCTTAAAGCTCCCCCACTATAAGATGCTTTAGATCAGGCTTTAGATCAGGCAAGTGCTTTCTTGTTGTTTTATTAAAACTTAAGGGTTTTTAATAAATTAAACATCCCTTTAAATGCCGGTCAGTATTTTAAGTCTAAAAGCCATTGGTAATTGTGGCTTTTTAAAGTAGATGATTTAGATATTTTATGTAAATTAATATGTCTTCCTCAGTAACTGTTAAGTCAGTTACTAAGAACTCATTCATTGTGAACCATATTTGATGCCAAGCATTATAATGTTAGCTTCTTTGGGAACTGCAAAAGAATTAGGAGATGAAACATTTCTCTCTTGCAAATCTAGGTAAAAACAAAACATTTAAATTTCTATGCAAAATAACTAGAGTACAATACAAGTATACCATTTATATTAAACACATCAAGTTCTAGTTTGAACCTGACCGAAGAGTGAGTATAGGGATGCAGAATGGTCTTTGATGGGCATAGGGCCTCTCCTTTCTTCTGTTAGGTGCCAGAATGGTAACTTCTCTGATTTCTTGAGGAATCTTGAAATGCCCCCTAGAGTAGTTACAGTTATTCTAAACGGTTATATAGGAGGAAAGTAAGTTCAAATTAATACATATCTCCTTTAGGGAAGATTGATCTGAAATGTTCAACCACTATTGCAAAATTTTTTATAACTGTATGTTTCCTTGAAGGTGCCTGGTTGGCAGTGATGTCAACCAGCCTATGAAATCATTTTTCTAAAATACTTACAAGCCTATTATACAAATGGTGAAAAAGCTACATAGTTTATGGCTAAGGTAGCTTCTTGATATTTAGTGCCCTCAGAATGAATACACATAACCTCAGAGCTTTTATTATTTTCTATTTATAATGTTTTTTTAAGGCAGCAAAGGTTTTAATAAACTTTTCTGTTATTTAAAGATATGGCTTACTTAGGTATTTAATACTTTGAAATTTCACACTAATGAAATAAAAGCATCAGTCTAGCATCACTTTTGTTTTTTTCCTCACAACATATATATTATCAGTAGCTGAGTTCAGTTAAAAAGAAGGAAACAGAAAAAAAAAACGAGAAAAAGGAAACAGCTGTATTATGTATATAAACCAGCCTACTCTATGATTTAGAGTAGATGATTAAATCGTAAGATATTTTTGCAGTTGCCAATAACATAAGTTCCTCATAACAGAAAAGATTAACAGAGTTCACTAATATTTGATTTCTTTTTTTTTTTAATTGCCTTAATGGCATTTTCTAGATGTTTAATAAAACTGAAAATCTCATGTGTTAATTTTTGGTAGTAAAATCAACATGAATATTTAACTATAAATTTAATATTGAAATGCTTACATTACTTACCCATACTTTTTATTATGGTGATTATATATGTTACCATGTCATTTTAAGTAAGTTACTTAACTATCTTCTTAGTAATAATATAACCTTGCCTTTTCTTCTACCATTATTAATTTTACAACTTATAATTGAATTCATCTTTAAGAATCTACATTTAATTAACCTTAGGAACTTTATTTAATTTGGTAACCTGGTCAGGAAGAAACTATTAACATAATAAAGCTACATTTTACCTCTACTAAAGTAATTATCAGACTATTGCTGTCTTTACCTAAGTTAGTCTTGTCTTTGTAATATGAGAGTAATTATGTGTCATTGTGCATGAACCTTTGTCTGCCTTTACTTTTATTCCTTGACTTGAAGAATAGAAGTACATGTGGGTATAAGAACAAGAGTACTGGCCTCTGTTCTCTTAATTACTTTCAACAGACAGTAGGGTTGATTGTGGTCAGCTATAGATATAAAAATGAATTCTGACCAGTAGAATCGTATCTAGCTTTTCCTTTGTGTTATAAAAACTGAATATGTAAAAGAAGCATAATTATTATTTAAGGTGGCACAGATCAGATTCTGCCCCAAGAAATAAAATTTCAAGGTTCCAGGCACCGATTTCTGCACCGGAATACACGTAAGATTTTATCTGCTCTGCTTTTCACAAGTAGGAGTTATTTTTATTTTGCAGGCTTATGTCATACTAATATTTCACCAGGTAATTGGCATATAATATCCTAATTCTCTTACTGTTTGGCTTTTTAGTACCTCTGTTACAGAATTTCTCAAACTGTCATCATACACTTTATATAGAAAAACAAACCAGACCAACTAAAAAAGTTGTGTGATTTGGGGCATAATGGTGAAAGTGAAATGGAATAATTTACACATAAGCATCTGAAACCTATATAATTTTATTAACCAGTATCACCCCAATAAATTCAATATATTTTTTTAAATTACACTTAAGGACCAAGCATCCTTTTTCATTTTCTTTATTTTGCTTTGGTTGGAATATTCTCTGTAGATTCAATTTTAACCAAGTTTAGTAATCCCAATCTTTTTTTTTTTTTTTTTTAATTTTAGCATACTATCTTGTTTCATTTTGAGTCAGAGGAGAATGGAGTGTAAGTGTGGATTATCATTGAAGTTTTTTAAAACTATATCATAGATTAAAATTCTGCTTGGAAGAATATTTTGCAATTATTAGACCCATGGAGGGAAGGGAAATATTGGCATTTAATTATAAGAATTTCAAAACTAATATAGTTCTTAAGCAACAAAAACCACTCTGGCAACCAATGATTTTTCCCTTATTCTGGTTCTCTTATTATGCTTCTAGGAACTAGTAAATTGCCTTAAACAGTGGCAACAAATTAGTGTTCTCTGTATTTAAAATTTCAAGAGAAATGACACAAGATTTGTGTTCCAATGAAAATTCTTTCTCCCCCTTTTCCTATTGTACCTTTATTCATTTTTGGAAGAGGCTAGAGCAGCCGTGGGCAAACTACGGCCCACGGGCCACATCCGGCCCGTTTGAAAGGAATAAAACTAAAAAAAAAAAAGACCGTACCCTTTTATGTAATGATGTTTACTTTGAATTTATATTAGTTCACACAAACACTCCATCCATGCTTTTGTTCCGGCCCTCCGGTCCAGTTTAAGAACCCATTGTGGCCCTGGAGTCAAAAAGTTTGCCCACCTCTGGGCTAGAGCCTCCCCAAAGAGATTATCCTCACAGTTTGAGAAACATTATTCCTATGAAAACCCATGGGGAAAGAGGTATTTGACTTTGGACTTTCCTTTTAATGATGACATAGTTATGCCAAGTAAACTTTCATTTAAATTTGAGTTTTGACTTTGGCTAGTGTTATTTACTTAACACTCATGTCATACGATTTTATGTAAGCATGAGGTAGAGCTATTACTAATGAAATAGCATGGTAAACATTGGTGCTTTCTTCAAAATTGTCTAATCTTTCATAAAAGAAAAAGATAAAGGTGAGATTTTGCTGTTTTATCACATTACTAGGATCAATTTATCATCAAAGTGCATTTTTATTAAATTACTAATATTATAACGTTTGCTTAAATAATCTCAGTGCCTTTGCAATATGTTTACTTTTTTTTTATTTCTCACAGTTCACTTGTCAAAACAACCTCCCCCCCCCCAAAAAAAAAAAAATAAAAAACAACAACCAAAAAGTCACTCTTCCTTGGTTGGGTGGATGAGTGGACTGAGGTGGAACTAACTCTAAAAGCATTCTGTGTTTCCCTTCCCAGTCCATGCTAGTGGTGAGCATGCCAGCTCAAATTAGACTGATAATTAAAATGGGGATTAGTCCTTTTTGTTCTTATATTTGCTTATTTGTAAAAAGACTTGCAAGACAGCTTAAAGCTTTAAAAAGATTGCTGCAGTATTTATTGCTTCTAATTAGGGTAATTTTGTTCATCTATAGATGAAAATAAATTTTAACAATCATCTATACATAATACTGCCCAATGTGATCATCAGTTTAAAAAATACTCCCTATTCTGTTTTTGCTGTTTATGAGGGATTCAGTATAAATTAATAAAAAGGCAAATTTCTTACTAATCTTTGAAAATTTAATTTCTTTTGATAAACCATCAGAAATCCAAATAGGTTTTTTATATTGGTCTTTGATGAAATATCTTTACTAGTAATGATAGACTTAATTTTATATTTTATCTTTATACATATTTTTAAGTTACAATTGAGAATCTTGTAAGGTTTTTAATTCCCATTTATTACCATACTAGAGGCCCAGTGCACAAAAATTTGTGCACTCGGGGGGGTCCCTCAGCCCGGCCTATGCCCTCTTGCAGTCTGGGACCCCTCGGAGGATGTCCACCTGCTGGCTTAGGCCTGCTCCCTGGGGGATCGGGCCCAAGCTGGCAGTCAGACATCCCTCTGGCAGCCCGGCAGCCCTCGGGGGATGTCCACTTACCAGCAGGGAGTAGACCTAAGCTGCAGTCGGACATCCTTAGTACTGCTGAGGAGGCGGGAGAGGCTCCTGCCACCACCGCTGTGCTGGCAGCCATCAGCCTGGCTTGTGGCTGAGCACAGCTCCCCCTGTGGGAGTGCACTGACCACCAGGGGACAGCTCCTGCATTGAGCATCTGCCCCCTGGTGGTCAGTGTGTGTCATAGTGACCAGTCATTTCCGGTCATTCCGCTGTTAGGGTCAGTTTGCATATTACCCTTTTATTATATAGGATTATAATTTTATATGATCATAGAATCTTAGAATTGGAAGAGATCTTACAGACTTTTAGAACTCTACCTTCTGTGCATTCTATCTTAAGAATTCTTTGCAGTTAACCTTAAAATAGTTTATGCTTGACTACTTTATAAATACACCTGATTTCCTGTTGCTTTTACTGACAAAATGATTTCTCTCAAAGGAAATACTTTCTTTTTAATTTTTAATGGGCAAAAATCTATCAAACTTTTTTCATGGATTTGTATTCAGTTTATTGACATTGTTGCTATAAGATTATTCTAAATATTCATTATTATAGACTTCAATATAGTAGTATGTAACTAATTTATTTACTAATATAGAATGAGATGCAAAAGTATTTAATTTCAGCACCAAAATGCAAATACAAAAACTTTGCTTATATCAATAAATATTGTACTAATTGGTCTTTTAAAACTTGCTTAGGTAAATTTAGCCAGGTATGTTGGCAGCTCTATCACGGAACTGACCCTTTTTATTCCTGGCTCTTGTGACACTTTTCTAACATGAATTCAGTCTGGTTTCTCACAAAGAGCAAGAGCTGCAGGTGTTCCCAGGCTGCCTAGAGGATTCTGAGTGACAGACTAGTGCCTAGACTTTGTGACCAAGCAGTCTGCTCTTTTTACTCTTCTGGGATGTTGAATATGGGTTTTGCCAAGTACAATGGGGCAGTTGCTAAGTTGGCTTATGTAATTCCAGAATATTTCTGGTCTCTGGACAGACTTTTAGGGTAACTGTCCATGAGTTTGCACCTGAAAACTTGCATTTCTTTTGATATCAGTAGGCCTACCTCCTATGGTGAATCAGCCCTGACATTAGGTTCTCAATATGTCAAGATTTGGCTTAGATCTTTCTCTTCTAAATAGTCTTTGGAAAACATGGTTTTCATTTTTATTGTACTTCTCATTTTGGATCATTAAGACATTCAAAGTTATTCACAAAATTGTGGAGATTTGTTTTTAATTTTCTGGGACTGTGGGAATAATATTAGATGACAACTATCTTTTCAAAAATTATCCCACACTTATTTTGTGGTTTCCAAATAAATACGTTAAGTTAGAAAAGATTACACAAGTCAAAATACAAAATTTTCTCTTTTCAGTTGTTCACTGTGTGCTCCATTTTATTTTGTACATAATCACAGGATGAGGTTTAAACAAGTCTCTGATAATACACCAATCTTAAGAGTTCCGGTTACAACTGTAAAACTGCTTCATTCATATGTGTTCGACTTGTCCGACGCACTGGCAGTGGAGCCAAAGAAACTGAATCTTAGCTCATGTGGAAAAGACTGTAAGATTACTGGCAAAGAGAAGCCCAGAAATTAAAATACTTTTGTTACAACTTTTAAAACTTGAACTCATCTTTAAATTTACTCATAAACTCAGTTTGCTTCATTGTCTGTGAAAGAATTGAAATAGCATTTTCATGGAATCACTTTCAATTCATGTGTTTAAACTTGTCTGACACCGGCATACCAGAATTTCCTATCTACTGTCCGACCATCCAGTCTCATGCAGGTTGCTTGTTAGCGGCTTGGTTTACTGAAATGGAATATACACCCATAAAGAACGCTGCCTTCCAAAGCTAGCGGATGAGCACACTCATTGCTGTAGTGCTCTTCCCTCTCCAGTGTTGTTCTTTGATAATTTGGTGTGTGTTTTTAACTTGCTATTTAAGGCTACCCAATTACAGATGCTGCATTGTAGCTAGTCTTTTAGGACAGTTTGAAATATTAACTTATTTGAGTGTGTGTTTTCTTAGGGGGAAATGACGGGTGGGAGAAAAGGGCAAGAAAAATAAGATGATTCGTAAAATATAAGTGTTTGGGGAAACTGCTCAGCTAAAGTTTTATAAAAATCTGACTTGAGTGTTTTGTTTTTTTTCTTCATTTGTTGTGCTTATATAAACAGTGTGACACCATCGCCACAACAGGTTCGGGTCTGTCCTCCCCGTATGTTACCTGAAGATGGACCTAATCTTTCCTCTGCTCGTGGCATTTTGTCGCTTATCCAGTCTTCTACTCGTAGGGCTTACCAGCAGATCTTGGATGTGCTGGATGAAAACCGCAGGTGACTGGCCATCAGAGACTCTCGCCAGCTTCGTTGCTTACTTTTTGGCTCCTTCTAGTGGATTGTGGTGTCTTCCTTTTTTGTTTGCACCTTCGTCTCTTTCTAAGATGCAGTGGTTTAAACAGTTTGCTTTGCTTTCTTTTAATTTGAAATTATTGTCCAAAATTCACATTTCATAAGATTCTGGTAGCTTTTCTTCAGTCAGGGAAAGTGTTTACTTAATAACTACACACAGGAAGAATAACGATTTTTCCAAAGGTTTTGTTGACTTGTTCTAGGTACTCGAGTCCATTTTGGCTGTGCTAGGGATACTACTGGATTGAGTGTAAGATATTGAACTTGAGTGTATTAATTTTCTTTAGTAAGTCTTTTGATTTCATCATTTATGGTACTAATGTGGTTGACTAATGAAACAGATTTGAAACACTGATGTCAGTGTAGCTGCCAGGAATTTTTTTTCCAATTCCTCTAACTAGGGATTTCTAGGCCTGTGTTGAAAATCCCAGGTACTGTTTGTCTTTTTGAAAATCCGATCTTTTCCGTATTGATAACTTTTGAACATCAAGTAAAATCATTAATAGCATACTTAGACTTGTTCATACAAATAAATTTTTTGCCACTATTTTTGTCATTACTACATAGTGTTTTTTAAAAAGTTGAAATTTGGGAAGCTTTCTGGCAGTGTATGGGAAAGGTACAGTCTGTTTCCTTTTCACTCCTAACATTTTATCTAGTAACTCTGAGAGTTAGTGTTGACTTTTGCAATTTGAAGAATCCCCGTGAATTCCTCTGGTTCTTCCATAAACCTGACTTCTTACCTGAGGAACTGATATGTGTATGGCTTGCTCTGGACAAACTTTCTTGTTGAGTGCTTTGATCCGCACACAGGCCCCTGGGGTTTTTCCCATACTTCATAGGCCAGTTGTCCATATTGCTCAACAGGAGTTTCTGAGCCTTTCCAGGGTAGTCTAGTAATGTACATTCGGGCCCAGGGACTTAATACTGTACCAGAAGGAATTTAAAGAGAAAGCCCATGGCAGGGGGGAAATTATATATATATATATATCTCCCCAAGGGTTTCAAGTCCCTTTTATGCTCTTTGAAGCTTCAAGGACTGTCTCAGAATATTTGAGGCCTAGAAGAAGCAGCATGGTTTAGGGAAAAAAGCATGTATCCAGGGGGTCACTCAGATTCCATCTTGATCCACCCCGCTGAGTAGCTAGCTTCATGATGACCTTTAATAAATTGTTTATCTTCTCTAGGCCTTGTTTTTCTCATCTATTAAGAAAATATGAAGGGTAACAATATTACCTAGTTTTCTGGATTCTTGTGAGGAATCTCTCCCCTTTCACCTACCACCACTACTTTTATTTCAGATATAGGGATAATGGCCTCCAATTGTATTCAGTGTGGTGGGAGAGCCTTCAAACGAGACTAAAGGTAAAGTACCTGGAGCTTAAGAACTAGTATTTCCGATGGCCTGTTTTCTCCACCCTCCTTAAAATAAATACATTCTTTACCTGGTATCCTCTTTAACTTTTTAATTACAGTTGGTCCTTAGAAGAGACCAGATTATTAGGTCAAACTATAACATATCAGATGCTATTACAGTGAAAATATATGAATGAGAAAGATACTTATAAATCCTATATAAATTAAATAATAGCTAGATGACAAAGCCCCAGTACATACACACCATTCAATGCAGTTATATGGAACTTATAAAAAAGTTGGATTTTTTTTTCTTAATAATGGAAAAACATTTTGACTCCAGCTCACAAGTACAAAATCAGAAATCTTACTAATGTAAAATTTACTTTGTATTTTTATATTATGAAAAACTATTTTGAGCCCTAAGTTTTATCTATTTTTTCATTGTAATGAATTGATAACTTTAAAATCCCTTTTATGGGAAGGAATTATGTTTTTTTATTCAGTTAAATTAGATTTTTAAAAATACATAAAGTAGTTGTATTAATTTTTTGCTCCTGGGTACACACCATTGTTGTTATCTTGGAGCCTAGCAGGTTAGATTCTTACTAGTCTTATTGGATGCTTTCATTATTGAAAGGGCTTTGTTTTGTTTTTTTATCGTTGTGTTTCAATCTCTTGCAATCTAAACGCTGAACAAGATTTAATCAGAATTGTAAGTGCCAAATCAGAACTGTCTCGTATGACTTTTCAGATATAAATGCTAGGAATGTGAAATTTGGATAATGGTCTACTTGCATGATTTTAAAATGATACTGCTTATAAAGTTTCAAGTGCTTTTATGTTTCTTGCTTTGTGCATCATTTTTTTCTTTCTGTTTTACTACTCTTGGCTGTTACGCTAATGTAATATCTTATCTTTGGTCTTATGACATCACATTAGGTAGAGTTAAATTAAGCTAGAAATATTTGACAGTCAGGGAGGGAGGGGAGAGGGAGGAAAGGGAGAAGGAAGAAGATAGTCTGCCTTACTATCATAAAATAATGCAGATTCACAGTTGCTTAACATAAAAAGGGACACTGTTGAAAGTTTTATTTATGTATTACATACTCATTTTCTCATCTTATGAGAACTTATATGATCTAAAACCAAGCTCAACATGAAGACAAAGGTAAAACATGTGTACACATTAGCAAAGTTAACTTATCAAAGCACCTCAGACAAGCACAAGGTATGTTCTTTGGATTTTAAATGCTATTATGACTTAGCCCTTGGCTAGTTAGGTAATGGCCAACTCTTCTGACATCTGCTAGAGTGCCATATCTCATTCTCCAATGCAAAATATTAACATTTTTAAAAAGAGACTTTCTATGTAAGAACATTATTTAAACACTGACATATTAGTTAGTCATGCTTAGCATGTTTAAGTTTTATTTTTAGAAGGGGCTTGATTATTTTTATACAGTTTTCTTTTGCATATTCTACAAGCTTTGAGTATATTAGAAACCACCATGTACATAATTTTATATTTTTTGTAAGTGTCCATATAAATATATTAGTTGGAAAACCTAGAATGCAAAGATGTAGTTAAAATAGTGTTTGTTGTTTATGATTTGTCTTTTTAAAATATGTGTATAATTCCTGGCCCCCCAATTAAATTGTTTATCTACTGTAGCAGTTTCCATTTTTTTTAAACAAAGAAACACATATTCTGTTAAGTCAGATTATTTTTTACTCAAGATGGTCAATATCCAAGTTAATGCTGGAACTTGAAGAGCCTTGAGTCTCATTCCCTTTTGTCACATCACAAAACATACTGTTGAACATATTATCAAACTTAAAAAAGATTTGTAATGTATTATGGAAGAAAGTGGTACTATGCCAAATGCCTGTCTAATTTACTCTTATATTATATGTGTCAATTGCCAGTGTAAGAAGACAAAACGAAATACGTTGTGAAAGGTAACTGTACTATCTTCTGGCTCTGCATTATAAAAGGGAAATCTCTGTGGTGGAACATACTGAATATGACAGATCCATTTGAGCATGTTAGTGTGAATTTCTTTCAAAACTTTAGGTAGCACACAGCATTGGCTTTATTTAAACATTCTCATGTTAGTATAATGTAAGATTGTAGTTAACTAGTAACAGTTTTCCTAATGCCACAGAGTAAATATATTAGTAGGATGGGATGGGTTTAAATCCTGTCTCAAGCCATATGTGATTTCTCACTGTTCTTTAGTGAACAAATTAGAATTCTAACAGGTCTTCCCCCAGAAGTCTCTGGATCTCTTATCCTCTAGGCTCCAGAAAGTTATTGAAGCAACAGGTAGTGCCTTCAGGAAGCGTATAAGCTAACCATTAAAACTTTTTTTAATATATTGAACTGACAAAATAATGATTTATATTATAGCCAAAATTCTACAAATATGTCAGCTTACCAAAACAAACAAAAACTACTGCATTTGCTATTAAATGTTTACTATAATTAAGAATTGCCTTGGTATTTAAATTCAGGCTAAACCTGATCAGTACTTAGAGAATGAGACATTCAAAATAGAATGTAAGGATTCCTAAAATCCTTATATTGGATCGTATACCCCAACCTTATCTCTGTGTTCAGTAAATATTGCTGATTACTTTTTGGGGAATTGACCAGTGACCTTGTGGAACTTTTGTTTTCTGATTTTAAAAAGTAAGATTTCTTGGAAAGGCTTCTGCTTACCTAGGTAAGAAACTCATTGTTCTCTGGAAACAAAGTATGTACTGAGCTAAGTGACACTCCCCACAAAGTTTTCCAGTGCATCTTAGTCTTCATTTCTAACAGCCCTGTATGTCGCTCCTGGTTGTCTCGCGATCAGACTCAGTATTGTGGCTTCTGGAATATGCTGTAGTATGTCCCTCACAGCAGGGCTCCAGTCTCAGCTCCAGAACTGAGGCTTGCAGTTTTGCTCTGAAGAGCTCAGGGTTTGAATGAGACACAGCTACGTTAAGATATCAGGCACTAATCAAAATTAAAGAGGCGGGAAGGAAGCAATTGTGGGATTTGTGAGTAATGTGAAATTTTTAGTTTTCGAGATGGGCTGTTGCTGTCGATGAGCAACCATGATCATGCAGGTGCTACTAACCGGTTCTTGACATGCTTCTAAAGTTGATGACTTTTCCAACTGGAAGAGAGCAATTACACTTTTTAAACAGAGTTGTCCTCTGTCTTGAATTTCATAAATTAAAATACAAGCACCCAAAAATTATTTTATATGTTGGTGCTATTTTGTTACATAACTATAGATTTCCTTTATTTTTAACCCATTGAAAATATTAAATTTATGAAAATCTTAAAATGGAGGACTTGGGAGACAAACATGTTTAAAGTATTTGAAATATATTATATTGTATTGAAACATACAATATAATCCTATTTGACATTTATTTGTCTTGTTTTTGCTTTTATTTTATTACTTCTCTGTTTCCTGATTCTGTCTTGTGCCTTCTCCAAAAACCTGCCTTAGACCCGTGTTGCGTGGTGGGTCTGCTGCCGCCACTTCTAATCCTCATCATGACAACGTCAGGTAAATTTTGAGACTTTGTAACTACCAGGGTGAATAGCTGGCTGAATTTGTATTTTGCAGGCTGTAATGCATGTAGTAGCCATGCCTTTATATTGTAGCTTGAGCCTCTACAGTTTTCTCTATGAGTACATCCTGCTTTTCTCTGAGAACAGTGAATAGTCACTCGTGACATTTGGCCACCAGAATGAGGAAAACACTTAATTGTACTACAGTATCATGTATCCTCGATGTTTTATTTAAATCCAGTTTCATTAACATATAGGAGATCATGCTAAAATGGAAAATGTCACCTTAAATCTTGTCTTATATGCATCCTTTTCATTGTTGCCTGAGCTTCTGTCTAGCGTTTTCTTTCTATTTAATTGTCTATAATATCATCTTCCATGTATAGAGAAAGCTGTCGATAAGGCATCATCTTAAATTGGGGAAAATCAGCATTGACAGTTTGGGTAAATTAAACATAAAGGGAAGTTGTTTTAAGAATTTTTGTCATCTGTTGATTTCAGCTTTTCTCTTACTTTTGCCCCTTTCACACATGCTTAATCTGAGTAATAATTTCTTCTGTTAAGTACAGGATAGATAGAATAGCAATATAAATACTTAAGGTTCTCACATGCCAAAATCCCCATTTCCCATCTTCTAAGGGGGGAAATTTGGTTAGTGTTCACAGATACCATTACTGTAATTTTTTCAGATTTCATTTTGTTTAAGCACAAATACATTATCTGTAGCATTAGATTTAAAACTGGCAGCATTATTTCTGTGATGAAAGGAAGCTGGCACATTAATTTTTAGGCAAGAGAAGAGGCAACCGGTAGTTTCTCATGTAGGTAGTTCAGGTTCGTTAGAGGAATTGGAAGTGCCTTAGGGCCCTCCCACTCTGCCGACCTGTTTCTTCTGACGGCACTAACCACATCCCTTGTAAGTTTTCCAATTTACTCCTAAGTTTGTCTCTCTATTTTCAGCCAGTGATCTGACTTAGAGTTTTTACTTCTGATAGAGGTTTTAGTTAAAAAAACAAACAAACAAAAACACATGGTGATTTTTTTTCTGTTTTAAGTTAAATTATATAAATTTTTTTGCCATATCCTTAGATTTTTTTGCAAATGAAGATTTTCTTTACAGATATTGAAACCCTTAATTAATTCAGGATTTAAATTGTGAGTAATCCTTTTCAATTGTACTTCGTTCTGTGTTCGGTCCAGGTCCCCTGACCTTTGAAGCAATTGCTTCTATTGTTTGAATTTTTCCCCAGTTATTCATCTCATGCGTGACCTCACAGAAATAGAACAGTTTTGTTTTGAGGATAAAGTGTAGAGAAGAGGTGTCTCCAGCCCTTATTTTTTCTACTAATCACTTAATTCTGTCATAATGTTCAAAGGAATAATTAATGCAGATGTTTGTAATCCCATAGTTGTAGCATCTACTAACTTTTCAGCTTATTTCTCTAACTGCTGCAGTTACTCTCAGTATTCCAAGACATTCATTCTGTCCCCATGAGGAAAGGGGCAGTTAATAAGAAAGCAAGTTAGTTTAGCCATCAAAGGCGCATTTAGAGATTGTTCTATATTATCTAGAGTTAGTACTACCATGTTATTGAAACTGCATCCTGTCTGGTGTTTTTGGATGGTTTTAAATTGTATTTGAAACAAAAGAATTTTCTGAATAGACTTGTTTTTAACATGTCTGCATGAGAATTATATTTCTCCTTATACCCCTTTGTGTGGTAAGGTGCTTTTTATAATGGAGACCTACTTGGTATATTAAAAAATATCTATGTGCCAACTTTGTAGATTGCATAGGAATAACTTTTAAATTCAGTTTATTTATATTCTGCTCATTCAGAACAGTTAATATGCCATTTTACTGAAATAACCATACAGGATTAAAATAGGATATAAACATGTGAGGTGTGTAAATTGTATCTCAATAAAGCTGTTCATTAAAGATATATTTAAAAAGTGGAAATCCAGGCAAAAAGGAAGAGTATTTGTGTGTATTTGTTTCTCAGAAGTTTATTGTCATTCATTTAAAAATCAGTGTCCTTTTAGAAGTAACTGCATTTGAACAAGAAGTACTTTTTCATGTGCTTTTTCTGGAGTTTGTCTTAGTGGCTTTCCACTTTTCTACACAGCCTCTTAATTATTGATTATTGAGCTAGTTCTGGATCTCAATGTAGTGAAAAGATGTATTCAGGTGGTTTTACAGTAGAGAGTAATTAGAAATAAGAAGTAAAGGGTAGAAATGGCAAGAAAAGAGGTAATGAGAGGAGGAAGAGAAATAAAAATGGTCAGTCTTATTTTGCTAGCTAGAGTTAGTGTCCCTGCCAGTGAGCCTCAGCAGGGGCTCCTTGCAGCCACACATGGACATAAGGTTGTCTAAGTATTGTATATTGTTATAGTCTAGAGTGGCAGCCCTCAAGTCTTTTCACCCACAGGTCCTATTTAACAATGCCAGTTCCTCTGAGTTGAAAAGTGTCTCCTTTTTTGTATCTTTAGTCAGGATTCTTCTTATTCTCCAAGTTTCAGGATACTTGCCAATATTTAAGGTAGTTGTTATCTTAAGTTGTTTCCTTTATTAGTAACAACGCAGATTGTAAAATACTTTAGGAATTTATATTGTTATTCCAATCTTTTGAACAATTCTTTGAACACTATACAGCACATTACATGACTTGTCAGGTACTCTTAGTTCTATTCTAATATTTAATTGTATTTTTATTTCTTATCTGCTAGGTATGGCATTTCAAATATAGATGCAACAGTTGAAGCAACTGCAGATGACATGAATGTTGTAGATGCAGTTTCATTAAGACGACAGGTATTTAATGTATCAAATAAGATATAATCCTAAGTGATATTCATATAATGTTTAAAGTGACAGTTCCAACATTTCATCATATTCTCTCCTGTGGAAGTCATGAATGGAAATATTTTATCAGTCAAACTACTTATTAAACCATAATTGATTTTCCCATTTTGATTAAAGATGTATTAAACCACCATTCACATGTTTTGATCAGCATAAAACAGTATTGCCCAAATGGGTTGATGTAGTTCTGGTGAATAACAAAGAAGCTTGACATTTTAGCAAACCAGGAAAGCCATAAAGGCTTGCTTGGCTTTTGGAATGTGGAACAGTCACTTTGGGCCTGTGTTTTTGTGTTTGAGAACTGCATTTTGGAAACTGCTCTCAGTGTGCGGAGGGTCTTTATATGCCTATTTCTCATTTTCTGTGGTAAGTCTTAGAACTACAGTTGCATATGTATATTTTTTAATACTTTTATTGATTTCACAGAAGAAGGGAGAGGGAGAGAGAGATAGAAACATCAGTGATGAGAGAGAAAAATATGTATATTTTTAATATGTACTCCCACCCTCTAGAGCAGTGATGGCGGACCTTTGACACACGTGTCAGAGGTGACACGCGAACTCGTTTTTTTGGTTGATTTTTCTTTGTTAAATGGCATTTAAATATATAAAATAAATATCAAAAATATAAATCTTTGTTTTACTATGGTTGCTAATATCAAAAAATTTCTATATGTGACACGGCACCAGAGTTAAGTTAGGGTTTTTCAAAATGCTGACACGCCAAGCTCAAAAGGTTCGCTATCACTGCTCTAGAGTCACTCAGACATACACATATGTGGGGAAAGCATATTCAGTATTCTAATTGTGTCTATGCCAAATAGGCGTGGAGGGGAAAGAAATCAAAGTGAAATATTTCTAAGTAAAGATCAAGAAACTAAATATTTTAGCATAAGAATTAATCAGAATATCATTTTAAAGATTTAATATAATACAAAGTTAATATGAAGCAAATACTTTTTCATTTTGAGTCTCATTTTGTTGAAACAAATGGAAGCTATATCATAAGTTCTTACATATTTCATATATTTATTTATACTTCACCTATTGAAGAAAGTGATTTCTTTGACCTTTATCATTGATTTCACAATTATGTCAACAACCTTGTTTTCTGAAAGTGTAATTTGAGTTTATGTTTTCACAGTGTTCATTTAAGCCTTAACTTAGAGGGTGAATTAGTATAGGACAGACAAAGATGCAGTTGTTATAAAATAGAGGCCCAGTGCACGACATTCGTGCACTGGGAGACATGGGGGGACCTTCAGCCCGGCCTGTGACCTCTCGCAGTCCGGGATCCCTCAGAGGATGTTCACCCCGAGGGGTCCTTAGCACTGTCATGGAGGCAGGAGAGGCTCCCGCCACCGCTGCTGCACTCACCAGCGGTGAGCCCTGCTTTTGGCTGAGCGGCGCTCCCCTAGTGGGAGCCCACTGACCACTAGGGGGCAGTTCTTGCATTGAGCATCTGCCCCCTAGTGGTCAGTGCACATCATAGTAACCGGTCTTTCTGCTGTTCAGTTGATTTGCATATTAGCCTTTTATTATAAACTAGAGGCCTGATGCACGAAATTTGTGCAAGAGTAGACCTTGCTTCCCCCAGCTGCTGGCACCAGCGTCCCTCTGGCACCCGAGACCCGGGCTTCCCTCCAGCCGCCGGCAGGCACCCGGGACCTGGGCTTCCCTCGCAGCCCCAGCTTCATGTCCAGAAGGATGTCCGGTCTAATTAGCATATTACACTTTTATTATTATAGATAAATAACTCGCACACGTGCTTTGAGACTTTAAAAGGAGTAGAAAGCCAGTTGGGAAACTATGAGTTTCTAAGATAATTAACATAAGTGGAATCACCAGAAGATTCTACAGAATTTATATTTGTATGACCTGGCAGCAAGGGAAGCTGCTACTTCTGCAGTTCTCTTTGCTCCATTGCTCGTTTGGGAACCCAATAGTCTGGAGTCCATTTAGTGTAGTGATGAGCAGCTCAGGGTCACTAGCTTTAGGATACAGAATGTAACCCACTATCAGGGTGGGGCGTATTAAAAAGCTGCCTTGGGCCCTAACCCATTTAGCTCAGTGGATAAGAGTGTTGGCCTGAAGACAAAAGGGTTCCGGTTTTGATTCTGGTCAAGGCCACATTCCCCTGGTTGCAGACTCAATCCCCAGTAAGAGACGTGCAGGAAGCAGCCAACCAATGATTCTCTCTCACCATTGATGTTTCTATCTCTCTCTCCCTCTCCCTTCCTCTCTGAAATCAATAAAAATGTTAAAAAACAAAAAGCTACTCAAAAATGCTCAGATAGAAATATCTTAATGATTTAAAGCAATGCCACTTTTCTATTGGCAGTAAAATAAGATTGGTAGTGTAAGAACGTAGTATCCTATGGAACCAAATAAACTACTCATTTTGAGTAGTGGGAAAGGTAATTTTTAAACACTTTTATTGTTTACTGAATTGACCCTAACAGAAAAGTGGTTGCTTAGCACTGATAAAAGAGAGGTACTTTCTCAGATGATCGGAATGGCCATCCCCGCCCTACCTGGATTGCAGGTTCTATCCCCATGGGGTCACAGGTGGGAGACAACCTATTGATATTTCTCCCATTGGTGTTTCTCTTTCTCCACCCC